TGCGGAGTGAAATAAGTCACTAGGTAAAAGACAATACCAGGTAGCATCACTTGTACGTGGACTATAGAGAAAGCAAATAAAGGAACCTCAAACTTTAAAAATAATCCTTGCCCCTGGTCACAGAACTGAGGTCCCCAAGTGGAAGAAGAATAGGGAGGGGTGAGAGAGATGCGGGAGAAAGCACAATGGCTATGGGGGCAGACTGCGGGTGTTTTTGCAGTGGGTGCACTTTGGTAACTGCACATAGGGCACAGAGACCTTACAAAATACTAACACTGGTGGTAACACATCTTAGTCAATTACATTTTAAAGATTATCTTTTTATTGACTCCTTGAACAAAAATAACATGGGGTAAGGGAGAAAGGATTTTGAGTGGGAATTGCAGAAGGGTCCTACACCCAGAAGTAACATAAATCCCAAATAAATAATTAAACAGTACACCTCGAGCAACTTGAGAAATAAAACAAAGAATAACTAAAATAAATAAAAGAAGGGAATTATTTAAATTGGAGCAGAAATAAATGAAACACAAGTCAAAAAGCCAAAACAAAGATCCATGAACGAAGAGTTACTTCTTCAATAAACAGCATTGATAAATCTTTAGCTAGGCTAACAATGGAAGCAAGAGAAAATGTATGAATAGAATTAGAAAAAAATGGAAATTACTACAGCAGAAGAAGAATACAAAGAAGAATACAAAGCAGAGAAATACAAAGGTCCTTAGAGCACTGTGACTGACTATGCTAGCAAATTCAATAATCTTTTTTTCTTTTTTTCCAAAGATTTATTTATTTATGCTTACAAGAACTGGGGTACAGGCCAGAGGCGGAGGAGGGTGAGAGGATTCACCAGAGACAGAATGGGGAGCAGAACAAGCAGACTGACAAAATATACCACTAAGGGGAGCAGCGGGTGAGACAGTAGAGGTCTGCCGCGCCTTGGGTAGCTCCGAGGCTGGCAGGGATAGAACAGGCACTGCAGAGGCTGTGGACAGCTTCACAGCACTGTGCTCAACTGCCTGCACCACCATAGAGTCCCTGCATAGATCTTTAACTTCTTTTATTAGGTTCATTCCCAAGTATTTCATTTTTTTTGTTTCAATTACATAAGGGATGGTTTTCTTGATTTCTTCTTCTGCAGATTTATTGTGTAAAGAAAGGCTACTGATTTTTGTGTGTTGATTTGGAATCCTGCCACTTTACTGAACTGGTTGATTATTTTGAGTAGTTTTTCTGTGGAGTTTTTAGGGTTCTCGTTGTATATTATCATATTGTCTGCAAATAGTGATAATTTTGCTTCTCCTTTCCCCATCTGCATTCCTTGTATGTTTAGACATAGGTATTGACACTGATTTGGACTGTGAGGCACTTCTAAAATTAAGCCAACTGATTAAAATACAGCAAAAAAAAAAAAAAAACTCAATGTGGCTGATGATGTAAACCTTTATGACATCGCACGTGACATTTGTCATTTGAAGTATTTTGAAATATTGCTTCAAACAAAGTTTCCCTAGTCAAACTGTTTGCATCTATTTCCTGATGGAGAGTGAGAAAATGTTCCCATGTAAAAAGGCAAGGGGACAGTCAACATGTACTGTTCTTTAGAATGTTCTTGTTTTAGGACTGGCTTGGGTCAGTCAACAGCATTCTTCCCATAAGCAAAACTGTGTCAGGAGCTCAAGACACAGGAGGGAATTACATTCTAGCAGGACATTCTTAAATCATGTTAGTATGATTTAGGTGCAGATGACACTGTGAAGGGAGGAGAGGATGTGGTTCAGGAAGAAATGTGCAGCACCTGCCTGCAAGGCGGTCAGAAGTGACATGTGGGTTGGAGGAAAGCAAGGTCAGAGAGCTGGTAGGCGCAGACTGGGGATTCTGCAAGAACAAGAGCAAATGCCCCAGGTGGTAACAGGATGTGGCAGAAAGAAGGACACCCAAATATCCCAAAATAGATGACAGGATCAAGAAGATGCAGTGCATATACACAATGGAAAATGACTCAGCAATCAAAAAAGATAAACTCATGCAATTTGCAGCAACACGGATGGAGCTGGAAGGGGTCATGCTTGGGCAAAATAAGCCAGAAAGAAAAAGAAAAATACCAGATGATCTCACGCATAGCAAGAATTTATAAACCTAAATAAGGGACCAGGAAAATACTAATTATAATAAAGTAAAAATCACAATCAACAGCAACTACAAGCCAGAGACACACTACCGTGCGGGGGAGGAGGGAGTAGGATCACATCAGGGGGGTGGGAATTATACCGGGACTATAACCAAGGTGAAAATGCACACATTGGCAAAAATGAAAAATGAGGTAAAAATACATAAAATTAAAGACAAAAAAGAAGGGCAGCTCACCCAGCAGGGCTGGACAGGGAGGGGAGACGGGTGGGGGCAGGGCTGAGGCCAGCGGGGCAGGGAAGCCTGTGCACAGGGGTTTCTGTGAAGTGTCACGCCCAGTAGGGCCACGGGAAGGCATGAGGCCAGCGAGCGGATCATCTGATTGATGCTCTCGCTCTTCCCTGGTGTGGGGGAGGTTGAAGGAAGAGGAGGAACCAGTGCGGGCACCGCAGCCCTGGCCCGTGACGCGCAGCATCCCAGGCTGGTGGGGGCATCGTGGGTTCTCAGAGGCGAGAGGGATGCGGAGCCTCCGTGGGGTTGGCAGCCCCTGAGGCTGAGGCGGGTGTGGACACAGGCGGCTGGAGAGCGCAGACTCCCCCGAGGCGGCCGTGGAGGTTGGGGGGAAAGATGGGAACGGGCCCGCGAGTCTGCCCCCGAACACGGGAGAGGACGCGACCTCTCTGTGCGGCAGCCAGGAGCAGCTGCAGTCGCAGCAGGAGCAGCTGGGCCTCTCCTGGCCGCTGCTGTGGCAGGTCCCCGGAGGGCGGGCCCGCGGGAACCTGCCCTGGGCGTCCTGTCCCCCGAGAGGTTGACACCCTCCGCCCTCCAGGCCTGGGACACATGGCACTGGGGCCACCGACCGACCCCTGAGCCCAGGCTCTGAGCCTCGGGGCTCTGGCTGCGCCCCCGGCTGCTCAGGGGAGACCTGTCCTCAGCGGATGCTGTGCGTGAGTGATCAGGGTTGGCCTGGCGGGGGGAACCTGCAGCCTGAGCAGCAGCGGACCCCACTGCTCACGCGAACCCACCACTTCCAGAAGCCAGGCTGTAACCCGCGGGGCGCAGGGCCACAGCATCTGGACCTGGCCTTTGCCAACCTCTGCTCCCCGACCCCGAGTTCGAGCAAAAAGCAGTTTTTTTTTTTTTTAATAGTCTTTTTTTTTTAAAGATATATTTATACAAGAAGCGAGGTACAGGCCAGAGGTGTGAGGGTGAGAGGATTCACCAGAGACAGAGCGGGGAGCAGAAGAGGCAGACTGACAAAATACACTGCTGAGGGGCGCGGCGGGAGGGAAAGGAGAGGTCTGCTCGCCTGCCTGGCGGGCCAGGAATCGAACCGGCGCTGCAGAGGTGTGGACAGCTCCACAGTGCTGCGCTCAACCCGCTGTGCCAACGGGAGCCCCAGACGCAGATATTTCGAAGCCAGAAATCTTGGGGGGAGCTGACCAGCCCCAGCTGCCCCCAGCCCCGGCTGAGTCAGGTCAGGGGGTGTCCCCACAGCACTGTGGGGTCTGGGGCGGACACCCCCTCCAGGGCCCGCTTTACAGCCTCTGCCTCCCTGGGAGCCGCCCCGGCCTCCGGCCTTCGAGGACGCCGAGGGGCACACGCAGCTCGTGGGCCAAACGGGGGGACCATGTCCCAGAGAGTTTTCAGTGTCGGGGTGAGAAGAGCGGACCCTGTCGCGTCTCATGCTCGCATCATGGTGTCGTTTATTGTGCCCGTGGATGTGTCGTGTCATGTGAGAAGCATCAGGGCTTGAGGGGGACTGTGCGGAGAGACCCTAAAAGCCGAAACCTGGGACAGGTCGCTCGCGACAGAGGACACGGCCTCGCCAGCGCCCCGCGGGCTTCTGGAACGGGGTGGAGTCCAGTCTCCAGGGCGTCTGTCCACACACCTCTTGGCGGTTGCTGTGCCGTGAAGGCTGAATGGCCCCCGGGGTGCCCTCTGCCGGGGGCGTGGCCTCTGCTCTGACGCCACGGAGAGCTCTGTGATGTCACCCGCGGAGCCTACTTAAGCCCCCGCACCGCCTGCGGCGGTGTAGGTAGAGCGAAGAGTGTTGGGATGGGATCGTGACGGTGGTCTCGGAGGGGGAGAGAGGCGTGTTGGTGGATTGGATTGCTTTTGCTTTGTTTGTTTATTTCTTATTCAGTTATTTATTTTAGCTATTTTTTATTTAATTTAATTTATTAATTTCTTTTTACTTTTATTGTTTGATTTGCTTATTTTTTCTTTTAATTTTTATTTGTTTTTGTTTTTCTTTTTTTTTTTTCATTTCCTCCGTTTTCCCTCGTGTTGTTATTTTTGTGTGTGTTTTTACCCCTTTGTGGTTTGTCTGATTTTTTTCATTTTAGTTGTTAGTTTGTAATTGTTTGTTCGCTTGTGGTTTGTTTTGTCTGTGTTCTTGTTAACTTTAGTGGTTAGTTTGTTATTGGTTTTTTAATTATATTTTTAAATATTTATCTTTGTTAAATTTTGGTTGTGTGTTTTCATTTTTGGGTGCGTAGTTAGTATTAGTATTCTAGTTAAATTAGCATAGTTAGTATTTCTGGTAAAGGTAAGTTAGCATCCTTACTGTTTCGGTAGAGGAGTCAGCGCGGGGAGCATTTAGTTAGTTTCGGGGATCCTTTTCACGTACTACTAGCTCTAGGCTAATAGTGTGCTTGTTAATCGGGTAGCGGAGCTAGTGCCGAGGGCTCTAGACAGCCAGGGCCTGCGAGCGTAGGAGCGGGTCCGCCCTCACTGCCCTGAAGTGCCCGTCTGCCAAGGGAATGGCCCTGAGACAGTAAGTGATGCTCCACACGCTGGGGGAGGGCACACCCGCCAAGGTCAAGCTGGCGCGGTACCTGCCGACGGGCATGGAGGTGGCCATAAAGGTCATCCCGAAGTCCAGCACGCCTCAGAGTTTCCTGGCCTGCGAGGTGGCCTGCATGAAAGTCCTTCAGCACCGGAACTTCTCCAGCTCTTCCAGGTGGTGGACACCGAGGATGAGGGGCTGCTGGTCCTGGAGCATGCGCAGGAGGGTGGCCTGGAGGACTACCTGTTGAAGCATGGGCACCTGGGGGAGATGGAGGCGCGCCACCTCTTCCGGCAGATCCTCGCCGTGCTCAGCTACTGCCACGCCCGGGGCGTGGCACACCGGGACCTGAAGCCGGAGAACCTGCTCTTGGACTGGCACCGAAACATAAAACTGGCAGACTTCGGGCTCAGTGCCCATTTCTCCGGGGCGGCGCTGCTCAAGACCCCCTGTGGCAGCCCACAGTTTATGGCACCCAAGATCCTCCATTGCCAGGAGTACAGTGGCCCCGCAGCAGACATCTGGAGCCTGGGGGTGGTCCTCTATGACATGGTCACCGGGGAGCTGCCCTTCGAGGGCACCAGCCTCGGGGAGGTGTGGGCCAGGGTGCTGAGCGGCGTCTACCACGAGCTGCACTACCTCTCCCAGCTGTGCCGGGACCTGCTGAGGAAGATGATGACGCTCGATCCACAGAGCCATAGAAACCTGGACAGCATCATCCAGCACCCCTGACAAACGGACTCCCACCCTGCTGCGAGCTGTCCCTGGGCCAGCACAAGGCTTCAACGGAAGCCATGGTCCCCCTGGGGTTCCGGAAAGAGGTCATCGAGAGGGCGCTTTTGGAGTGCAGGTATGACCCTGTGATGGGGACCTACCTCATGCTGCTTTCCAGGCAGGTGGACGAGGAGGGGCCGGACCCCACCATCTCTCCCAAGCTCCTCAGTCCCAATGGGGCCCACTGCGCCCCAATACCAGAGGACCACCGGCAGCCTGAGGTCTCGGGCATGAAATCTTGCAGGTGGGACTGTCCCCGAAGGAGAACTCCCAGAAGCCCACCACCACCTCCGGGCCAGGCATCCCGCAGAAGGACGCCAGCATACAGAGCTCTGTCTCCGGCTCAGGGCCCCTGCTGCCGGACGCCTGGAAGCCCAGCATGGCCTCCAGGTCAGGGCCTGTACTGCAGGAGGCCTGGGGGCCCAACACCACATCACTGCCAGGACCCCTAAAGGAGGAAGCCCTGCGGCCCAGCACCACCTTGCTAGGCCCCCAGCTGGAGGGGGGCCAGGAAAGCATTAGGAAGACCTCCAGCCCAGCCCCCCAGCTCTCCAGCACCACCCGAATAACCCCAAGAAGGCGCCTCCTGTTCAGCCCACCCCCTGCAGAGACACTGGGCCATGAACACCATTCCCATTTCACCCTTCAGTCCAGTAGAGGCTGTGAGGCCAGAGCTCGTCGAATCCTTAATAGGATTTTAAAATGTTGCCTTTTCTGTCCACCCTTTGGAAGAAAACACAAGAGCAGATTTCACCCTGCTGGGGATTAGATGGTCACCAGCACCTCCCTAGAATTCATTTCCCCGCTCCAGGGCAGCCACTCAGTGGCCATAGTGAAAGGAGCACACCAGTCGAGGCCGAGGCCCTGGAGAGGGCTTAGGGACTGGGCCCAGGCAGAGGGGCCAGGAGCAGCATGAGAACATAGGCGTGGAGCACAGATGTCCACAAGCACAGCAGTCCCAGGAGCACAGCAGGTGAAGGGCTGTGAGGGCAACGGGTCTGTTGAAGCACCTGGAGGGGAACAGAGCAGAGGAAGGGGGGAGAGGTGGGCTTAGGGCAGCTGAGCAGGTGCAGGGCCCAGGATGGGAGTGGAGCTGTACATTCTGAGCCTCCAGAAGCCCCAGGGCCAGAGGCTGGGACCCCAGGGCCTTGCTTCCCTATCTTATGCTCTATCCCGTGAGGGCCCTGCTGGTGGCCCTTGCCCTTGGGCACAGAAGCCGGACGGCGCAGAAGATACAGGAGCTCTTCAAGCTGACTGGCACTGTCAGGGACTGACATACACGGTAGGAAGTCCCCTTCTACTGAGCCCCTTTTCACAACGGTGATTTCAACATTGAGAATTGCTTACCCACCAGTGAGTGGCGCCTCAGTAGGGCCTCCATCTGCACTTTGTCGCATCTGAGTCCATGCAGCACTCCCTGGGGGGGTGTCACTAAGGAAAGAGCCTCCTCCCTGCTTGGGCTTCAATGGCTCTGCTCTTCCCACGCAGGTCCCAAAGGGCGTGAGGAGGCAGCCGCTGTGGACATACTGGTTCCCACTGCAGGGGCACCTCCAGGTGACCCACTCTGCCTGCTAGGCCCTGGGGCATGGAGACATCTAGATGCTCTTTCTCTGCTTGGAGGAGACAGTCTGAAATGGATTGTTTAGTTAAAATATCTACCCCAGATCGCGCGCGGAAAAGCAGTGCAGTTGAAAAGCAAACGCGGATCCAGATCGCAGCTGCCCAGGTCCCAGCGCCTGCGACCTAGGCTTGCGGGGAGACGCGCGGAGGCCCTCACTGAGTGAGCAGGCCCAGGCGCCCAGGCATGGGAGCAGGATTCAAAAGGCGCCATTCCCGCGCCACTGAACTGGGCTACAGCCTGAGTCCTGGAACTGAGGGCTTTGGAACTGACACCCGGGACACGAAATTAGGGGCGTGGGTTCCCCACGACGGTGGGGCACAAGGCAGACACAGCACCCCAAAGCCATTGAGGTTTACCCTTCCATTCCCGCTCTATTCCCTGTCCCACGGGGTGGAAAATCAGCTCCCCAAGGGCTCCAGGAGAGATCTCTGGTGCCACCTAGCGACTTGAAGCCAGCAGAGGCGCCTAGAGGAGCCAGTGGTCAGCTGGGGAGTTAGCCCACGCCGGGCCCCTTCCGACCAGTAGTCTGAGCCCACAGGGGGAGCGAGCACCCACAGCCGGGGCAGACCAGGCGCGCAGAAGAGTGTGCCTGAGACCGGACGTGCAGGGAGTGTGTCCCACATCACCATCTTAGAACAGGGACATTTCTTCAGTAAAGACTACCTGCAGAAGGCTTCCTCAGGAGCCAGAGGTGAGCAGGGGAAGTTTGCCCACGCCAGACCCCCTCTGGCCTGCAGTCCAACCCCAGAGGGGGAGCAGGAACCCACCGCTGGGGCAGACCAGGAGCACAGGGGAGTGTGTCCCCACATCGGCATTTTAGAACAGGGACCTTACTCCAGTAAAGACTGCTTGAAACTGACAGATGACTCCTGGAGGAACTAGAGGAGAGCAGAGAAGCTCACCCAAGATGCCGGCCAGTCCCACCTACACAGTGTCCCAACGCATACGGCAAATTAGAAAACAGACAGTAGGGAGGAGAAGAACCACACGCAACCTAGCAACTCCCCAGGGAAAAAGCACACCACAAAAAGAAAAGCAGCCCCCAGATTGCAACGACAGTAACTTGGAAGAACTTCTGAGCCTTCCAGAAAGAGAATTTAAAATTGCCGTGATTAAAAAACTGACAGAAGTCATAAAGGAAAACAATGATAAGGGAAAAATAATCAACGATCAGAAGAATGCAATTGAGTCCCTAGAGAGGGAAAACAATGGTCAGAAGAATGAAATTGAGTCCCTAAAGAGGGAAGTAAAAGAAATGCAGGAGATCAAAGAATTAATGGAAGAACTAAAGAATTCTGGGAAAAGCAATGAAAGCAGAATAGATGAAATGGAAGAACGAATAAGTAATCTTGAAGACACAGAAATAAAAAGAACCAAAACAGAAAAGGAAAGAGAAGTACGAAGGAAAAAGAACGAAGAAAGACTTCGGGAACTATCTGACTCCATGAGGAAAGGAAATATAAGAGTTATAGGAATACCAAAAGGAGAGGAGAGAGATGTAGGAACAGAGAAAATATTTAAAGAGATAATTGAAGAGAACTTCCCAAATGTGAAGAAGGAGCTGAAATTTGATATACAAGAAGCAAGAAGAACACCAAACTTCCACGACGAAAGGAAAAATACAGCAAGACACATAATAGTAAAGCTCCCAAGAATCCAGGACAAGGAAAAAATAATGAAGCTGGCAAGAGGGAAGAAACAGATAACATTCAAAGGAAAACCAATCAGGCTGACATCAGACTTCTCTGAAGAAACACTACGGGCAAGGAGAGAGTGGAGGGACATAGTCAACAGACTCCAAGAAAACAGATGCCAACCGAGAATTCTCTATCCCGCAAAGCTCTACTTCCTCTTTGAAGAAAGAATATGGACCTTCCCAGACAAACAGAAACTCCGGAATTTCATTACAACTAAACCCCCACTCCAAAAAATACTACAAGGAGTCCTAAAGCCAGAACCTCAGAGGGATGAATAACAATGAAAGAAGGCCAAAAAAAAAGTTATTCAAAGAATAAATAAATAAAATCAAAGGAAAGACAAACACAATGGCATATACAGATGCTAACATATCAATATTAACTCTAAATGTAAATGGACTAAACTCTTCAATAAAAAGACACAGAGTTGCAGCCTGGATTAAGAAACAAAACCCAACCTTTTGCTGTCTCCAGGAAACATATTTAGCTACAAAAGATAAAAATAGGCTCAAAGTTAAAGGATGGAAAACAATCCTACAAGCAAATGGACCAAAAAAGAAAGCAGGAACAGCTATACTTATATCAGATAAAACAGATTTCAAACTCAAAAAGATAAAAAGAGACCCCAATGGTCACTACATTATGATCAAGGGGACAATACTTCAAGAAGAAATAACACTCATTAACATATACTCACCAAACGAAGGAGCACCAAAATATATCAGACAACTGTTGTCCTCTCTGAAAACAGACATCAGAGAAAACACATATGTAGTGGGAGACTTCAACACACCACTATCAACAATGGATAGATCAACAAGACAAAAAATAAGTAAAGAAACCAAAGCTCTAAATAAGGACCTAGAGCAATTGCACTTAACAGACATCTATAGTTCACTAAACCCCAAAAAAACGGAGTACACATTTTTCTCAAGCGCACACTGATCATTCTCCAGGATTGATCACATACTGGGGCACAAGACAAACATCAACAGGTACAACAAGATTGAAATCATATCAACCATCTTTTCTGACCATGAAGGCATCAAACTAGAAATAAACCATAAAAAGAAGGCAAGGAACTTTCCTACCTCATGGAGATTAAAAACCACACTACTGGAAGACCACTGGACTAATGAGGAGATCAAAGAAGAAATTAAAAAATTCTTTGAATTGAACAACAAGGAGGACACCAAATTAAAAAATTCTTTGAATTGAACGACAAGGAGGACACCAATTTCCTAAATGCATGGGATGCAGCAAAAGCAGTAATAAGAGGAAAATATATAGCAATAGAAGCTCACATCAAGAAACAAGAAAGAACTCAAAGAAACAAACTAATCTCGAAGCTCAAAGATCTAGAAAAAGAACAACAAAAAAGCCCCAAAACCAGTAGAAGAAAAGAAATAATAAAAACGAAAGCAGAAATAAATGAAATTGAAACTAAAAAAACAATCCAAAAGATCAATGAAACCAAGAGCTGGTTCTTTGAAAAAATCAATAAAATAGACAAACCCCTAGCCAGGCTCACAAAGGAAAAAAGGGAGAAAGCACAAATAAACAGGATCATCAATGAAAGAGGAGAAATCACAACGGACACAGCAGAAATCAAAAGAATAATCAGTAACTACTATGAACAG